CTTTCGCTCATTTATTTTCGAGCCAAACTCGCATCGAATAGGAATAGATCTTAATTGTAATAGCTTATACAATTTGGATACTCGACGATCTCCCTATGTAATTATGAATTAGCATGGTAATTGCAAAATTCAACTATAAGTTCATTTCTATTTCAAATGCATATCTGTCCTGTGACACTGGCGTAGTGGCTATCGTGTCGAGATTCTACTTTGTACTGCCATGGGGTTCATAGAGACCCGCTGGGAATGCTGATGAGACAAGTCGGAATTGCAGTCGAGTCCAGTACACCCGAGATGAGATTGCAAATGTTTACTCAAATGCCTGTGAGTAGTATTGAAAACCTGCTTAGCATTCTTTCGTGTTTCAACGTAAATGATGGACTGATAATTGAGTTTAGGTTTTGAGTTTTGAGTAGGACTAAGGATGCAGTAGAATTACACAAAGCCACTAAAGGTTTCGGTATGATCGACGATTTCAGCAGGATTCGAAATCAAGTCTGTGAGGTTAGCCAGACCCGTTGGTTCGCGGACGATGCGCAGCTTTGGAATAATCATGGGTCATTAAATATAATCTATTCCCAATTATAAATGGTTAGCGTATGACACTTGTAGCTTGTACTTGTGCCCACATTTCTCAGTTGTCAGGTGCTCCGATCTGATTTGAGTTTACAAAAAGCGGTAATTGCAAATAGGTTTGTACAGTGCATAAATTAAAAAAAAATATGTACAGATGTTTTCGCTGAAGACAATCATTTGGACGAAAAAAAGGGTTGTTGAGGCGTCACGTCGTCTGAGAAGGTGGAGCTGGGCTGGCGTGTTTCTGGGCCAAATGCTTCTTGAGATGGTCCCTTCGCGTGAAGCTCCAGTCGCAGTGGGTGCAAACGAAGGGTCTGGCGGGGTTGTGGGTACGAGCATGTCGCAGGAGAACGTCGGATCGGGCAAAGGCCCTACCACAGCCGGGCAGTTGACAGACGAAAGGTCGTCGGCCGCGATGTTTCGCGTCCAAATGGCCGCGAAGGTGACTGGTGCGCGAGAACAACTTGCCGCAGACCAAGCAACTGTGCTTCTGTCGGCCGGCGCAATGTTGACCTCTACTCGGAGAAGATCGTTTCAACTTTTGTGCACCAACAGCTTCACCGCCGCCGACAATCTGACGTCGTCGGCGACGCAAAGGTTGTCGTGACGATTGACGCTGTTGCTGACGCGTCAGGCA